ACACGTTTATGAATGGCACCTGCCATTTTTAATCCTTTCTGTTTGCTTGTAATCATATACCTTTCATACTATGGATATAAATAGATATTTAAGCTGCATGATCTTTCCCATAGGCGAGAGATGGCGGCCAGAGGACAACCATCTACAAAAGAGACCCAAATAACTTTAAAAATTAAACTAAAACTGCCAGTAGGTGGCGGTAAGTCACTGATTTTATCACTGAATCATTCAATTCAAAATCAACAATCACATCAATCTCCACTGTTTGTCTCATAACAGGAAAGACCATGAGAAGGCAGAGTTTGAAGTTCATGAAGTTTATGCCGTGGATGTGCTGATCAGCACAGGAGAGGGGAAGGTAAGTGATAATCACACGTTTATGAATGGCACCTGCCATTTTTAATCCTTTCTGTTTGCTTGTAATCATATACCTTTCATACTATGGATATAAATAGATATTTAAGCTGCATGATCTTTCCCATAGGCGAGAGATGGCGGCCAGAGGACAACCATCTACAAAAGAGACCCCAGTAAGCAGTATGGGCTGAAAATGAAGACCTCAAGAATGTTCTTCAGTGAGGTGGAGAGACGCTTTGACGCCATGCCCTTCACTCTTAGGTGGGCAGCACTATTCTCCAATTTATTTGGTTCCTACTTGGCTAAATCAAGAGGTGTATCTGCGTTAGATATTCTGTTCTTAAATCAAGCAGGTGTTTTTCATGTACATTTTGACTAGAAGGATGTGAATACCAGTGAGAAGCTGTGGGAACCATGCTGTTGATTTTTGATGACGTGTGCTCTATTTTTGTATTGTCACATGAGAAATGCTAGGACAATGACTTTAAAACTTGGTGGATAAATCGATGGTTTAGATTTCATGGTCATTTGGTAAACACAGTAGTCTTTGTGTCCTGCAGGGCATTTGAGGATGAGGGAAAGGCTCGTTTGGGAGTGGTGGAGTGTGCCAAACATGAGCTCCTGCAGCCTTTTAGTGTGCTGAACGAGAAAGAAGGTCAGTCTCATTATCATTGCACCATTTCTTCCTGCTCTGACCGCTTTCTTTACCTGGTAAATTTCTCTTTCCACCTGTTTTTGTCTGTCTTTAGGTGAATTTGTGGCTCAGTTTAAGTTCACAGTGCTGCTGATGGCCAATGGGCCCTTGAGAATCACCAGTGGACCACTTGAAGCGGAACTCTACAAGTCTGAATATGATGTTCAAGATCCTGAACTGAAGGTATGTTAGACCCATCTATTCTATTTAAATTGATTCAAAATTAAGGTTTTTCTTACTGTGTTGTTTTGGTTTTTTCTGTCATTTTCAGTCTCTGATCCAGAGTTCTGCAAGTCGTAAAGCACAGAAGAAGAAGAAAAAGAAGGTGAGGCCTTTGCTTTAAGAAACAGGAACAATCCTTATGTTGTTTCCCAACAAATTACTTTTTTCTTCCATGACACACAAAATGGGAAGTTCAGTAGAATGTCCTGGATGCTCTTTTCTGGAGAATGAAAGTGAATGGGGACCATTAAAGTAGCATAAATATAGTCCAAATGACTTGTGTGCTATATTACAAATCTTCAGAAGCCATAAACCAGCATTATGGAAGCTTTGAGGAACAAAATAAGGTTTTAAGCTATTATAAAGTTGGCAGTCTCCACCTCTGTACAGATCATTTGCACTACAACGGGAACAGGAATTTTCAGCAAATTACTTAAATTTCAGTCTGCTTCTCCCACAAAGCTATTGTATGGCTTCAGATAACTTGGAATATGGCATGCCAGTTCTATCAGCTGGCAAAAATCATTCTGAAAGTGTTACAACAATATAATTCTAATGTCATTATTGTTATAGTTGTGGTGTGGACTTCCAATTTTCCTAGAATTAGAATGCTTGTATCGTTATAGCTGTGTGAATGCTTTTATCGTTATAATTATCGTTATGGTTTATTGTTATAGTTATCGTCCTTGGAGCGAACAGACCTTGAGCCTTTTGTCATTTTGGAGCTTGACTGTTCCCATTCATTTTAATTATATGAAAGATTCATTCATGCGTCTGCATTTTGTTATAGGCCTCCAAAACTGCAGAGACTGCTACAGGCCAACCAGCTGAGAATGAAGTTGCAGCTAAATAGAGGCGACATATCTCCACCCTCTCACGAAACCCCCGAAGAGCAAAAACATCAGCATTTCACTCTCGCCCTGTTTTATCCTCTTCGCCATCAAAAATTTGATCAAGAGTCACTGTTAAAGCCTGTGTTTAAACAATTTCTGCCTCCCCGTTATGGAGAAATGTCATTAAGATTTGGACTCCAAGCGAGTGCAACAAATTTGTACTTTCATAATGAATCTACTTACTCTTTTGAAGCACTCAATTTACATTTCAACTGGAACGCAATGCCTTTTTCAAAATGTAATTAAAAAAGCTTCGCAATTCTTTTGGAGAGTTGCGTTTTTCACAACATGTCCTGCTGACTGTTTAAAATGCTTTGTTTGGCCCGAAGGTTCATTTGAAACTGCATTACATTAGATTAAGTGGTTTGGGAAAGAAACAAATTGGATTTGCAGCTATTTCTCAGGGTTCTGAAGAAAAAACATCTCCCTTATCTGAGAAGTAGTTTTGTACAATTAGGATCGAGAACACATCCATGGAGAATTTGATGACTTACAGGGACATTAGAATTGGAATTCAGTGAACAGAATTCCTAAGCACTCCATTGTTGTGATGCTATAGCAAAGAACATGAAGTCTTTTATCTAACTGCCATCCCTTTCCACGAGTATCACATCTGAAGATGACATTAGGGAATGTTTTGGTCATACTTTATTCCTGCCCATTTTCTTTTTTTCACATTTTAATTTGTCTAATTCTCTTTTGTTGATGCAGGGAGATTTTCCAAACAAACTTTAAGTTGTATTAATTCAAGTTAATATTAGAAAGTCTGATTTATTAGGGATTTGGTTAAAGGTCTGGTCCAAGATACACTAAAGCTACTTCAACCCACTGAAAAAGGTTATAACTTCCACTTGCCAAGGGCCAACATATTATCACTTTACCTTCTATGAGCAATAGTGTCTGTTTGACTGAATATTCAGATCAAAACTAGGCTCGGACTGGATTGAGAAGCTTTCCAGGTGTCATTTTTACAATCCAGTCAGTGCAGTTATTTCAGGAGAGGTGATGGGAAGTGGCTCTAGAGCATTTCTGGACCAGTCCTGTTATTTGGGGCTTAGTTGAGGCTGGCTCAATACATCTTTTGAAATGTTGGTTATTGTGACTTCTATTCTGTTTCTAGGTTGTAAAGGTTTATGTGGGAGAGGAGGCCGGAGGTTTGGATTTGACACGATCTTGTTTTTGTAGAACCATCGAATGGGACTATTTTACAACTAATGAAATAAAACATAACTTTTAATATATTTTCTTTAAGATTGTCATCATTAATTGTAAAAAAAAAAAAAAGCACAGTCTTTGCCATGCATTTGTGTAGTTGGTTTACTAGGGTTGTTTAATTTGAGTTCTATATTGGTAACAAGTCATTTACAAATGTAATAGCTCTGAGAAAATAACAGGAACTTTTTGAAGGTTTTGTGTCGATGCACTATTTATAAACCAGATAATTATATAGCTACCGATTTATTTCTATCTCCAGCAGGGAGAAGTTGAACCTTTGAATGGAAAAATAAGGTTTCTTTTTATATTTGGTAACGGGGCGCTGTGCGGCCCAGACTATCAAATACCGGTTGAAGTTCATTCAGATGCTTGGTCCAAGACTTTTAATTTACTAGAGACTGAAACATATTGTTATTAAAATCGATAAACGCCAAAGACCACTATCGTTCACGACAATACTTTCAAAATAGTAAAATAGCTAAAGTGTCTTAATTCCACAAACACTTGTCTTACCTGTGACATGACAGATATACATTGACTTAGCAGTTAAAATTTTAGTGAGGAAATACATTTATTTAAACATTTATCCTGATTTGCTACAGGTTTTTTTTAAACGATTCATAGGAGTCAGGTCTTTTCACTGATTCTGAACAACTCGAAACGAGAACCTGTGGCGAAAAGTTACAACGTACTCGAAATACATCTACAGCTTGGTTTTATAAACACACATACGAAACAGATTTAAAAAACCGAAAAGAAAAATCTGAGCATGTAAAATACCACGCTGGGAATCGTTTAAAAAAATAGTTCTCTGAAATGAACTGTTCGAAAGAATCGACTCGGAAATGAATCGGACCATCAATAGAAAATGTATTTCCATCAATAATGAGGTTGTGAACGTCAAGATAGGTAAACTTCCTATGCTTCGCCGTTTTTACTATAATTTACTATGAAACATATTTGGTATCAATTATTTGTATTATTATTTTTGTACAATTATTTACCGTTACTCAAAATACATCTACAGCTTGGTTTTATAAACACACATACGAAACAGATTTAAAAAACCGAAAAGAAAAATCTGAGTATGTAAAATACCACGCTGGGAATCGTTTAAAAAAATAGTTATCTGAAATGAACTGTTCGAAAGAATCGACTCGGAAATGAATCGGACCATCAATAGAAAATGTATTTCCATCAATAATGAGGTTGTGAACGTCAAGATAGGTAAACTTCCTATGCTTCGCCGTTTTTACTATAATTTACTATGAAACATATTTGGTATCAATTATTTGTATTATTATTTTTGTACAATTATTTACCGTTATTTTTAAATTAAATTTTAAATAATTATTTTGAAAAATGTTCACCTCTTATGTACTTTTGCATCAATTAAAAAGATGCTCTGCCCCCTTTGGTCAGTATTTCACGCTCACCGCATTGCAACCACTGTATTCAGATCCAGCTCCCGCTAGATAGAAGAAAGCGTGCTCGAACAATCGCTTTTTGTTGGGGGTGTAATGTTAACAAACCAATAGCTCGTGGTCAAGGCCCGTTACAATCCAATCCCCGTTCCATAAGTGAGCCGGTGGGTGTGACCGGAGGGCGACGGAGAGGCGGGCGCAACAGAGTGCGGTGCGGAGTTCGGTTGAGGAGTTCAGAGAAGAGAAGCAGGTCTGCGGACGGACGGACGGTGGCATCAGTGCAAAGGGGCGAAGCCAGGGAATATTTGGCCGATTTTCAAAAGAACTGGATTATAAAAACCGGACGCGCTGGATAGCAACTCATTCATCTCTTCGTGCACGTAGGTCTCATCGCTGACAGCCCGTGGTAAGTTCATGCATCTTTTCATTTTGGCCTGTTTTTTTTCACGTTACTGTGTAACGGATTATTTTTCGCAGTACTTTTCAAGCGGCGGGGAGAGCTCGCGCGCTAGACCACGTTAGCGAGTTTGTTATTGCGGTTCCTTTAAGCAGATAAATACATTTCCAAATGTTACAACCCATTGCCTTTGGGCAGCCCTGAGCACCATATGTCGGCTAATGCACTTATAAAACGTTTGTCCGCCTCGCCACAGGCCGTCTAACGGGAGATGGTGATGAGGAGGAGGCGCGAGGAAGGAGCACGCACTAGGCGGCCGCGGAAACTTCAGCTCGTGCAGGAGGCAATGTTATCGCAGTTAACGGTCATCTCGTCGCTTTGTTTGTATACATACTAATGTGGCATATTTGTCGCTAATTTCAAATTAATTGCGAGACAGTGACCGTTAGGAAGGTGTTTTTTAGGGGGGTTAACATTGAATTAATTTTTGAAGGACTGTCCGGCCCTGGAGTCCCGCGTCAGTTTACCGGGGATTCATCACGCGTATAATGGCTCTCATCTGTGAAATATCAGACATGACCCACTTTTTTTTGCCCTGCTTGCCTTAATTTAACTTAATTTTTTTTTCTTGTGAAAATTACAGTAACTCTTAGTCCAGTTGTAGGCCAGAGTAGACCGAGACCGTCTGGCTCTTGCTTATATTGGGTTGTTTGTTTATTAATGCGACTGTGGATGTGATCCATATTAAACTTACATTAACTAGTAGGTGTAAACTGATTCAGACAATGTTTTACATGCAGCTGTATCATGGAAATATGAACTTGGTTCAGCTGTATGTTCCAAAAATGCAGTATTTGATGAATATTCATCAATTAACAGCGTGCTAGTTAGGTAAATCCACACATTTGAAATCCATACAGTAGTTTATTGTTTTTGTATCCTATGAATGTATGCATGATAAACTACTACAGCTGTTGTATTATTATGATAAGGACTGGTTTAAAATGCTGACCATGTAATATAGATTATGTGAATGCTGCGAATTGAACATTCTCTGCTATTTCCATGTAAAACCAATGAAATATTTGACCTTCATACTCCTATGCCACGGCTGTGTCATCACTTCAATTCCAAGACGATCTCTGCTCTTCCATCGCTAACCATCCTTTAACTCTTTTTCCAGGTGGCCTATTTTTAGTTCCTCATGCCGGAGATGGCGCAGCGGAGCGGGCAAGAGGACCCTGAGCGGTACCTCTTTGTGGATCGGGCCATGGTCTACAACCCTGCTTCTCAGGCAGACTGGACGGCCAAGAAGCTGGTGTGGGTTCCTTCCGAACGGCATGGGTTTGAGGCGGCCAGCATCCGCGAGGAACGTGGAGAGGAGGTGCTTGTTGAGCTGGCTGAAAATGGCAAGAAGGCTCTGGTGAACAAAGATGACATCCAGAAGATGAACCCGCCCAAGTTCAGCAAAGTGGAGGATATGGCAGAACTCACCTGCCTGAATGAAGCGTCTGTTTTACACAACCTGAAAGATCGCTACTACTCTGGGCTCATATACGTAAGTGTGATGATGATAATGCATTTGCTTTCAAGTTGAATACTTTTTCTACCTTGGTTTTTGCAAGTGTGTGTAGGGAGTAGGGCTGCAACTAATGATTATTTTGATAATTGATTATTCTGATGATGTTCCTTGTTTACTGCCCACACTCCAGTCCAGTAGGTGGCGGTAAATGCACCTTTCAGTTGGTTTGCCAACCGCCAATAAAATTTAAAGAAGATGTGCCTTGTTTAATCAGAAAGTCAACTTCTTCTGTATTTATATACATATAATTATGTATTATAACTTCAAATCCTGCCTAATGAGGTTCTCTAAACAATGTACAAATATAAGGTTATGAAAACAAATATAGTGAATGTATTCAACTATATGCTTACAAGTATGTTTGAAGCACATAATGTAAAGCACTGTGATAAATTAGCTCATGCACTTTTCCCATAGCAACTTATATTGTCTTCTATTATGTTTCAGATGCATTTTGTCCATAGAAATGTGTTATTCACTACCATAAAATGACAGGAGTGGTGAATTTTTTTGTGCACATGCGCATATTAATCGATAATCAAATTCGTTGTTGATTATTGTCATTATCGATTTTATTGATTAGCTGTGGCAGCCCTTGTAGGGAGCTTCATGAGAGTTACATTGTGATCTTGACCTATTTTATAGCATGTACTCAGAGAGAGAAACTGGGGACTTTTATTATTCAAGAGAGAGAAAGAGAGTGTGAAGCAAGCTGTTTGGAGGTGTAGCCCCATCATTTCCTTCATTCCCCAAGTGTGGAGGAGCTGCAATGAAGTCATAATCTCAATGAGAGCAGCCACTTCTGTCTTCACACTTCTGTTGATATTCCCACCCAGTTACCACCTTTTCATACACTGGATGAAATTTATCCAGTTAAATTTTCATTTCCCATCATTGAAAGCTTTTCCAGGTCGATTGACCATCTCGATTGGCAGCACTTCAGATGTTATGAATGCAAGCACTGTTGTCATTTTACACAATGATGAGAGAGTGCAGACCACTCTCCCATACCCACTTAGCTGTGTGGAACACGGTCAGGCTGGATTGTAAGTCTAGTTTCCTGCCTTTTTTGTTATTTAAGCCTCTGTGGTTGCTGTGCTCCCTCCTTATAGGCTACAGTAATTAGCCGTAGAGGCCCATGCTTGGCCTAGTAAAACCTGAAGTTTTATAACAGGACCTTTGTGTTTGGCATTGAGCTACAGCTGGATTGTAATATCTGCGAGATGTCAAGATGTCAGACTGACTGTTGATAACAACCGCATTCCTCAGCATTCCCCAGCATTTCTCAGCTTCCTTATTACTGTTGGCTAATGTTATGTTTGAAGAAATACAGCCACAAAATGGAAGCATAATGTTATGTATTTACTTAAAGGTTGTATATTCTTTCCTGTGTGCATGGCTGGTGACCAGACCTCAGGCTGGTGTGTGGTATGTGCTCTCATATCTGCTGTGTGGGCAGAGCCGTGGAGTTGCTGCGTTCCTCTCTGCCTTCCCACACCCCTCTGCTCTTGAATAGCATGATGGGTGATGACACGTTAGACTTGATTTCTCTTTATGGGTTTGTTTAGAACAAATATTTTCCAGTTCTGTATATTTGGCATGAAGTGAGTTTATTTATTTATATTTTGATTTTGAAAAATATTTTGAGCTTGTAATTTTTAATCGAAATACCACACCTTGATCTTTTGGTGAAATGACAAACTTCTTTCTCTTTGGTGACGTATGCCGGACTAATTCAATCATAAACCCCGGATGGGGGTATGGAATATGGAAGAAATGAACTGTCGCTATTTCTGTTATTTTGGGACATTAAATGTACTAATATGTAGTTGTGGCTTGTCCCTATTATCAGAATTTAAAAAGTAAGAATGATGAGACCATTGTTGAATTCTTGGAAATTATACAGGTTTGGTATTTTGATGAGAGGCGTCTTGCATAACACAAGATGAAGAACAATCATTTGACTCATTTTTTTTTTTTTAATTGGGTTTCACGGATTTGGACAGGATTTGAAAAATGAGTAAAATAGGATCACAACCTGTCAAATATTTTTGTGTAAGAACCATTTCTTTTTCAGCTGTGAAACAATGGCCCTGGCCAATGCTGCCAACGTGTGAACAAACTAATTCGTACAAAAAACTCAAAAAAACAATCAAAGTGCATTTGTGAGCTGAGTGATGAATATGGGCAGTTAGATAAAATGATGATATTTACATCAGTCGCACTGTACGCATACCCTAACATACATGTAAAAACCAAATTATGCTTTGGGCATGCTGAAATTATACAGGTATATTCAAAATCAACTAGTGTGTATAGGTTAGGTTGCCTGAACAACTTGTCAATCTTAAGAAGCTCTGTCATATTAGGCTGGTTTAAGGTCATGACTGATCAAATGCATTTCTTAGAGATATATGGCATTTTCATAAGGTGACGGATACTCAACACAAATAAACAACAAATAAATAGGATAAATAACCAAAAACTGACAAATTATTTGTTGGATAGGCTTTGGGATTTCAGCATAGAGCGCTTACTCATAAATGGTGCAGTGCTTTATAGTTATTCAGTGTAGCATGTTAAGTTGTTTATGATTGCAGTTGTGCATAGGGCTGGGTATCGAGTTCGATACTTTTTAGGCACCGACCGAATTGCCTCGATACCACCGAGTATCGAAAAACGTCTCGTCGTTCGGTACCAAATTTCAATACCTAAGGGGTTAATCTCATCAGCGTCAGTGAGCCAATAAGCCTGCAGCACTAGCTGGTGTGTTCGACTAGAAGAGGTGCGACACAGATTGATTAGTGTTTGACATCCGCGAAAGCGATTCGAAAGCGCACGGAGCAGTCTGCTCTCTTTAGCTCTCGTGGTACTGTAATACACCGATCGGTCTGCACTGCACAGTCGGTCCGCGTCAAGCCGAACACACCTACTAGTTTACACCGGTTACACTCAGAGATGTGGCGCACACGTGAGGCTGTAGTGTGAATGCGTCCCTGCCCCCTTAGATGTAAGGCTACATTTACACTGGTGCGTTTATGTTCTAAAATGAAAACGATCCTCGTCATACTGGCGTTTCCACTGCGTTTCAAGCCGGTTTTCCACTATCTCCGACAAGCGACAGACCGGTCATTCAGTCATTCATTTCCAATGGAGAGTAGCGCGGGAGCTGCGTGGAGTTCCGATCATATGCAGATGTCCGTTCATACTAACGTTACACGACCGAAAGCGCGTGTTATGTGACCATTCATGCAAACTGTAGCAACATACTACATAAGACAATAAATAAGATTTATATTCCGCTTTTACTCTAAACTCAATTTAAACCACCATCGAGTGTTTGTAATAACTTCCGATTGCCATCTAATGTGTGTTTTGGCCATGTAAAGTTCCTGAAATAGCTATGTTATTTCCTCTGAGTCAGAGCAGCGATCATGGAAGAGAGAACACAGGCAGACAGCGCTGGAAGCTGCTAATGCTCATCAGTAAATCAGTGGAAAATAAATAGAAATCATGATTCTGTCTGAGCTG